GATGATGCAGTTGAGCTTGCATTTGGGGGGTGAGAGAGAGGGAGTCGTAGATCTTGTTCAGAAAGAGATTGTGAGGAGTATTGCTTTGCCAGTTATTCATCCTGAGTTAGTTATTAAATTCAGTTAGTTTGTCAGTCACGTAGTTATCCATTCATTCATATAGAGAGAAAGTTCATACATAGTCAGTCACACAGTTAGTTCCGTTGTCTGTCTGATACAAGTGAACATATATATATATATTATATATATATATATATAATATATATATATATACATACAGTATATACAGTATATATATGTTCGTAAATATTGCCGAGAAACTTTTTAATACAAGCATTATTCGATACAGAGTAAAAATTTTCGAAATGAGTAGTCATGAATAAACCGGCAGCTTAATTTTCATTCTACCGGTGCGTTATTTATTTTATAATCAATACAGACTAAATTTCCCAATGAATGTGTACAGTATGTCTGTTTAGGGACACAGAGACATCAAGCTGCCGTTTGCCATTGAAGAAATCCATTATCACTTTGGAAATGATCCCTTTTTGTGTCTCTTTGGAATGCCGTTTACCATTCAAAGCACAAAAGAGATTTCACTCATATTTCTCCATAAAGCTCATTAATTGCCATAATAATGAAGTCTTTTTATTTCCAATTTGCCGCCGCAGATAATCATTGAGGCTTATTCGAGGCTGTAATAGGAGGATGGGAGGGGGGGCGCGGGGGTTGAATGAGAACCCAAATCTATGCCTGAACCCATGGGAGTAAATGACCTTTAACCTCAACATGCTGGTGGAACCAAATAGGCCAATTTTGTCATTTCTCAGGGTTGTGTGCTATTTGAGATCACATAAAGTTAATAATAGATAAGAAACATGACGGCAAAATCTTGTAGTGGGCGTTATTTTGATGGATCCACACCGTAAGCAGCGCAGAGTGTACAGTGTGCCCTCACTTGGAAGTTTTGGGTGCTGCAACGTGTGTCGCAGCAGTGCAGGGGAACGCGGCGTCTGCTCTCAACTCACACTTGTAGGTAACAGGCAGGCAAAGACGGATCGAGGAAAAAAAATATCTCGTTTTTGTTGTGTAAAGTTCATTATATAAAATTTATTTGAATGACAATATCAATGCAAATATAGCACTACAGTGATTTCCAAGGTACACCGTATCTTACCATATCAATATAGTATGGCACTCATATAATGGCCACTGTTTGAGTCGACACACAAAACCAACAGTTTCTGTAAACTAGTTCTGGAAACTGTCCCTAGGTTTGTTTATTAGACAGTGGAAAAGGAACCGTAATAAGGTGATTTGTTGGTATTAGAAATCAAGTTGGGCACAAGATTGAAGGTAATATCATGATTTTTTTTTGTTTGTTTGTTTTTTGGGGGGTTAAGAGTCTCTACATGCATTGCACTTGCCCATTTTCCTTCAACCTGGCTTGTAATTATATAAAATTTGATGCCAATTGTCAAAACAAAAAAAAAAAAAAAAAAAGGAAATAAATAAAGAACATGCGCAGGCGAAACTAACACAAAGGCCAAGCAGTGACTCTCCAACACTTAGGTAGGTCTTCTTCTCACAGGGGGTACATTTTGGTGCTAACTATCAAAAACAACCACCACCAAGAGACATTCAAACGCCTTATACTTTTACAGAAGGGCTCACTTTTTTTTTTAAAAAGTCCAGTTCACGTGGCTTTCCGAGAAAAACAAAACAAAACTCGAATTTGACAATAAGCACAAGAATATTAACCACGTTGCCTCACGGCGACACGTGAATGAACAACACCAGTAGTTTGAGATAGCAGCAACGAGACGACAAGTTGTTGAACTCTGACCAGAAATGAAGATTATTGTAAAAAAAAAAAATCCATAAATGCAACTGATCTTAAAGGGAATCTTGCATAAATAAACTGTTCGACCGCACCTTAAATTCAAGGGCTTTTACTGATTATTAGAACTCTAAGTAATGCGAGGACTGGCTGCAGCAGATAAAATACTCCTAGAAAATCAAGTGAACAAAGTTTATACAGTCTATGCTACATCAGATGTATTGATTACAAGTATGAAAATGGAAAGAATTGCTACATTTTCAATACACTTGTACATATCTATTTACAGTACATTAGGGTTTGATTTCTCCCAAAGTGTTGCGCAGATTGTTCCAGCATTCTGTTTCGACTTGATCAACACTCGCCCGTCCTTTTAGTTGGACCTCATTGGACAGAACTCAATGAGCGGCACGGATGATTTTTTTTTTTTTTTTGGGTACCCTTTCATTTGTAGCGAAACGTGGCTCGACACGCCCCGCGTCACACCGGGGAAAACCAAAACAAAGCAACTTTGTACAACCGTGTGTTACCATAGTGAAGTTCTGCTCTATGTAAAATTCAAACATGATCATCTCTACACAATATTTGTACAGGACTGTATGTCTATTGTGACATGCAGAGGATGACACAGTAAATATGACTCATTCAAGTCTTAAGATATGTAACGTTTATAGGCTAGAAGTCGACGCGAGTTATGTCGCTCCACCACACCGGGAGCATATTGCTATAAAATTGTCCCTCACCCCCCAAAAAATGTAGAGAAAGTTACTTGATTTACAAATATTATGCGAACAGATATAGTAGGTAGCTTTTACACCTCGGCGATATTATTTGCATCCACGACAACAATCTACTGATACCAAGACATCTCGTATGCATTGACAAATTTCAAGAAACACTTCAATGACTTCACGACGAGTCTTACGTGTGCTCATCCACAGAACATGACATGTTGGGCTCATGTCGCTCTTTTCTGACTGGTGCCTTCGTTTAATTCCTCTCTGTGCATTAGAGAAAAAAAAAAAAAAGAAATCGATGCGTCAAGTAGTCAGGAGGAAATTTGGCAATTCGGATATCACCCTATCAAGCTGTCATAATCAGGAGGGAGAACGATGGCAAAATTGTTGGCAATTAGAACCAGCGCGATTTTTTTTTTTTTTTTCATGAAGAGTGTGGGACACTTCAATTGTTTGATTGGAGTCCCTGTTTGATCTGGCGATGGAAAGATTGACGGATGAGGTCGGACAGGATGTGCGGTGACTGTAAGGGGCAGGTGCGTGAGAACCCAGAGAGGCGGATGGATGAGGAAAGAAGATCCGTCGCAGCAAGAGGGTGCATGTGTGTGTGAGTGAACAGGAGGCCGTTGGGATGGCGAGGTGACAAGGAGTAGCAGTGGAGGACTTCATGGGTCTTGGGAATCAGTTGTACGGAGCAATGGCGGGGGGGGGGGACAAGAGCTGAAGAACTGAGCAAAGTGTCAGAAGACATGCTGGAAATGGTCGGCGGCAAAGAGGAAGATGAAGAGGAGATTTATGGATGTGATGAGGGAAGACTTGCAGATAGTTGGGAGTGATAGTAGACGATGCAGGGGACCGGGAGAGAAAGAAAGGGAAAGACGAAGATTGGAATCCCTGTTTGCCTTTTACACCGCAGCTGCGCTCACCTTTGCCCCCTATCTGTCACCAAGGTGGTGCAACTGCAACGAAAGTCACACAAAATACTGACCCCCCCGCATCTACTCTCGTCTAATGATATAACCCCCGCCCCCTTTCAGCTCGACCGTGTCTCTCGTCAGCGCTGTCCTCACCGTCCTCCTGTCAGATAGCCGTGTCCCACACCACGGCCTGCGGCCTTTGGCAAGGCGGCGTGCCAGTCTTACGGGGCTCAGGTGTCCGTCTCCAGCTCGGGAGGATGGGCATGCTGTCCTGCTTGCACAAGCTTTTATCCGGGCGCCTGTGGGCCTTGATCTCCTTGCAGAGGCAGCGTTTGCGCTCGATGACTTCCAGCAACTTGCCGTCTCTCTGGGTCTGCGCGGCGGACGAGGCGGCTCCGGCGCCGGCGGCGGCGGGCTGACCCTGCGCCAACTGGGCGAGCTGCTGGAACTGCAGCTGCAGGTGGTGCTGTTGCTGGAGCTGCTGGAGCTGCTGCTTTAACTGCAACTGCTGCTGGTGGAGCTGCAGCTGCTGCTGCTGACGGGATACGCCGGGACTGTTGGGGCCGCAGGAGGCTTGCGGTTGTGCCAGGCCATGCAGCTAGTGACATCAAGAAAAGGAAAGGAATGAGTGGACATTGGTTTTAGCAGAGGTCAGGTGATCAACCGGTTCCTGCAACGGGCAAATGGAAGGGTGAGCTCCCCTTCACCTTATTCAGCAAACATGTTAAAAAGCTATTTCAGGAACCAGATCAATCCAATTTAAAAATAAAATACTCTCTAAATCTTGAACTAATT